CGTAATAAATATTGATTTTAAATTTCATCAAAAAATTGCGCTGAGATTGGCCTGGAATTGCTATAATTCAGAGACGAACTTCATATCCGGTGGCATTTTTCTGCTCAAATTCATATTATCAAAATGCGTGAAATCGTACACATTCAAGCCGGTCAGTGTGGAAATCAAATTGGAGCCAAGGTATTTCTACCTAACCTTCATCTATGTTAAACTTTACTGCTTTTAAAAAGCCTAATTTTATATTCATTTCAGTTTTGGGAAGTCATCTCTGACGAACATGGAATCGACCCTACCGGCACTTACCATGGTGACTCAGATCTTCAACTAGAACGTATTAATGTCTATTACAATGAAGCCACCGGAGGAAAATATGTCCCTCGAGCAATTCTTGTTGACCTGGAGCCTGGTACTATGGACAGTGTTCGAGCTGGACCCTTTGGTCAAGTTTTCCGTCCAGATAACTTTGTCTTTGGTCAGAGTGGTGCTGGTAACAACTGGGCTAAGGGGCACTACACAGAAGGTGCTGAATTAGTCGATTCCGTCCTTGATATTGTTAGAAAAGAGGCCGAGTCATGCGATTGTCTTCAGGGATTCCAAATGACCCACTCTCTCGGAGGTGGCACGGGTTCTGGAATGGGAACCCTCCTTATCTCCAAAATTCGTGAAGAATATCCTGACAGAATTATGAGCACTTTCTCAATTGTGCCATCACCAAAGGTCTCTGATACTGTTGTCGAACCCTACAATGCTACCCTCTCAGTACATCAACTTGTCGAAAATACTGATGAAACTCACTGTATCGACAATGAAGCTCTATATGATATTTGCTTCCGCACCTTGAAGCTTACCACACCAACTTATGGAGACCTTAACCATCTCGTAAGTGCGACAATGTCTGGTGTTACTACTTGTCTGAGATTCCCAGGTCAACTCAATGCTGATTTGAGAAAATTGGCTGTTAATATGGTACCTTTCCCGCGTCTACACTTCTTCATTCCTGGTTTTGCGCCACTCACCAGCCGAGGAAGTCAACAATACAGAGCCCTAACAGTCCCTGAGCTTACTCAACAGATGTTCGATGCCAAAAACATGATGGCTGCTTGTGATCCTCGACATGGTCGTTACCTCACTGTTGCAGCTATGTTCCGTGGTCGTATGTCAATGAAAGAAGTTGATGAACAGATGCTAAATGTGCAGAATAAGAACTCAAGCTACTTTGTTGAATGGATTCCAAATAACGTGAAAACCGCTGTTTGTGATATTCCACCAAGAGGTCTTAAGATGTCTGTCACCTTCTTGGGTAACAGCACAGCCATTCAAGAACTTTTCAAGAGAGTTAGTGAACAATTCACTGCTATGTTCCGAAGGAAGGCTTTCCTTCACTGGTATACTGGTGAAGGTATGGATGAGATGGAGTTCACTGAAGCCGAGTCAAATATGAACGACTTGGTGAGTGAGTACCAGCAATACCAAGATGCTACTGCTGAGGAAGAGGGAGAATTTGAAGAAGAGGAAGGTGAGGGAGAAGCAGCATAAAATCCCATTTCACTTTAAGTCCGGAAAGAATCAAAGAATTCCGTGGCAATTCCGGCACCTGAACATTCCCTCTAACCTTAACCTGTTGTGGACTCTGGTAAATTCATCTTGTTCTTGTCATCCTTCCCCCTTTCTTGTCATCAATAAAATCCTTCTTTTCCCGTTCCTCCCATGTTCTATGTAGAAACTTTGAAATAAACTTCTAAAGTTTCAGGAGTCCTAACGAAATTTTTTTGGTAACTACCCTAACTATCAATTACTGGGGTTTTCTCTAACAATTGATGTCATTTTGTATACCTTTTAAGCCCCAATTGCAAAGTAAAAGTTGGGTGCTTGTAGTTGCGCTTATTTACCAATATGCCTTTGAGTACGTGGCACATGCGGCCATGATGACTAAGTATTTTCAAGGCGAAAGTCCATTGGCCGAAGCGTGTGTGCATGTGGCAAGGGGTGGAAAAGTAACCTGGTTTTGGACTACCGCTTAAGCTGTTTTAGAAATATCACGAGGCATATGGTTTGAATTATTCCCTATATGTTTATATTCTATTCTAGTCAAATTCTTTAATCCATTTGAGAATTACCCTCCAAATATCCTTATTGTATAAGTACAAAGATTCTAAAAAGATATCATTTAAATGGCCAGATCTACCATTCCACTTTCGTTTCTATGTTAAGCTTCACCCTGTCCTCATTTTATTTTAACAGGAACATATATTTTTCAATCAATCTGAATTTATAGTCAACTGGAGTTAGGTTTCGCAATATTTAGTTTCATAACGTAAAATCTGATCGTTTTATTCTTTCCTTCAATTTCATAAAGGGCAGAATAATATAAAACAAAAATTAATAAACATTGAAGAGCTAATACTCGCCTGATATTAAACTTGATAGTTGTCACTGTGATTTCTATAAGCAGGTTTGATTAATTTGAGAAATGAGCAGAATAAGTGCAAAATGAATCAAAATCCAGGCAACTATAAGTTTTAATTGATAAAAGACTTAGATGCACTCTTATCGATTATTTACGATCTAGGACAGCACTTTCCAAAGGCCGTCAATATAACTGCTTTTGCGGTGCTTAAACGGATGTTTATCGGTTTAGATGCCAACGTAAGCAAAATTGAGTAACAAAATATTTCAAGTTTTCTGAGTGATCTGGGTCACCACCACTGTCACAACAATACTGGTTTATGGATTTATATCTAGGTTAGGTATACATTCATAAACACGAAACACGTGTGAAAATATCGGCGGAAAAAAGTTCTACTTTTGGAACATTCTCGCCAAACCAAAGGTCTCTAGCCAACCACATGACTCATAAATAACTTAGTTTTGACAGTCCTAGAGAGCTAATGATCATATAACGGAAAATGATGACCACTAGACTGCCCTGTTGGCTTTATGTTACCTCATTAGCATCACCTCATCATAGTTGGCTTAATTGGGAATGTCGTGTATAAGGGCTAATTGCTCCAGAATCTAAAGCGCTATTTCCCACCTACTTTAAGAACTTTTTTTTATATTTTATGATAAAATTAATATATCTTATCCAACCTCATACGAAAATCTGATAAGTTAATTTCTAGTGTAAATTCACAAATTATAAAGTTATCAAAATTAACAAATTATATCAATTAGTCTTTTGCTATAATCATCGATTGTTCATGATTTTTCGTGATAAATTACGCATTTCAGAGTGTAAATTAATTATATGGCTTAAAATTTCTTAAAATAAGCTACTATTTTGTTCATATCAGTCTTAAATTCATTAATTTTATTTTGAAAATACACAATTAAACACAAATTTCGATTACTATTTTGTTGTTTAAGCCAAACTTACGAAATAACGATTCCGAAATCCTATTCCTTAAGTTTATATTCTACTAAGAAAGAGCCATTTCTCATAATTTTAGTTTTAAATTTAGTGAAGTACGTTTAGGAACTTGATCCATAGTTATTAGATGGGAATAGAAAATAACACACGTCTAAGCTACCTCTTACCCTCTAGGTTAGGGTAATCTAAATCAAAATTTCCTTGTATCCAATTTGAAGTATTCGAAAATAAACTACTTAGAGTCTTCTACGTTTTTTAAAAGCATCAAATGAAAATTTCTTTTCTGTAATGTAAACTTTGCATAAATTATTTTTCATGCACTGTTTTTATGATAACGGGATAGGGGTGCGCGATAGACTTACTTTTACGTGGTGCACCCAGTACAACGTAAACTCAGGACAAAATATTCTATAAACTGCAGTTGGCTTCAAACTTCCATAACCAGATTGTGCGTCATATTCGACCACTTTCACATTACTCACCTTACCTTACCATTTCTCTATCTTTGTGTCTGTCTCTTACATCAGTGAATCTCCCTTCTGTTCCCTCCCCCCCCCCCCCCCCTCGGCTTTTGTGGCTATGATGTTCCCCCTCTTTGTGAAGCCCGTAGTCAACTAAAGGGCTAACGGTAACTATCATAAAACCTGCCTTTTGATATAAATGTTTCTGGGATTAGCAACATATGAAAGTGGATTTACCTCCAGTGTTACACAACTGAGTTAATTCGTCCAATTGGTTCAAAGTCTAGGCCTACTTTGTCGAATTTTTCATACAATTTCTCAGAGAAATCCGTTGAACGAGTTCTATAGATGCCATGACTTAAAGCGACCGCGGGTCATTAAGTAGTTTCCTGTTTGAATTCAAGAGAGTATTGAGTCTGTTGCTATCAGACAGGCGATAATTAAGTAAATGTCACAATAGATTATCATTTTTGCAATATCAGATGTGATTATAATGATAATTTTGGACCCTGTAAGTCACTAGTCCTTTCATCAAATGGATGGAAATAGCATGAGTTTGAGGGCTAGATTTCTACATTTTCCGGGTAACTTAACTTAGGTTTTGTATGTAAATGAAGAAAAAATGGGTCGATAAAACGATAGCCCTAATCATCGAAGACAAATATCGCTTTGGTAAAGAATCTTGTCCTTTTTGGAGTGCCATTATTATGATTTACCATTTTTGTTTGCAATTAGAGGGTTATTACTTCCTTTTTGCTTATTATATTGCTTTATAATCAGATGTGCAACTTCAATACAGATTTAGTCCTACAGAGTTTGAAAGTAAGCATTTTAGGATAGAATAAGCCCCCCCTACTTCTCAAGATTTCAACTTTAACTAAGGAAACAACTGCTAACTTTTCATTTAGTTACCAGTTCAATTAGCTCAACAAAGTGGAATTTAAGTAGCTTACGTTTAGGCTAGTGTTGGGTAAAGAACTTAATGACTTTTATGCATATACATTTAAAGTCTTAGTCTTCAGAATTCGGCAGCAGTGTCCTAGCCTTGTCAAATGATGAGCGATTCACATCCTTTAAGTGGTTTCCAAGTTTCTTAGCCTTCGGAAATCTATCATTTTATCTTTTTTATTACCTAAACTGGTACGAACAGACATCATGAATGAATTCTGAACCTTTAAAAATCCTGTTTTATATAGATATTCTATGCTTTAGTAATGACTTTTAATCACCTCATATCTTATGCCAGTAAATTAATCTTAGCAACCAGGAGAATTAAATGCATCGGAAAGGCATGACAAGCCTCCTAACAATTAGTTAGAAACATGGGGATTTAGTTCCTGAAGTTTGGTACTTTTTACCGACGAAATATCGCCTTTTTTCGACCAAGTTGGTTTTGAAAAGGAGTTGATTTGCAAATAAAAGAAAAACAGTCAGTTTTTGCCTAAGCGTGCCTTTAAACAGCATTCCCTGTATATCTCCTTAGTCTAATAAACCTTAAATAAAAGCTCTGAACAATAAATTGATGCCTATCTCATCATAGAGACTCTAGGATATTTTCAATATAGTCAAGTTATATTGACCTTCCTAGTTGTGGCGATCAAACAGGAGATTTAAGAAATTTTATTTGTAAAAAGAACAAGCCAATTAAGAAATAACAGAATGTAACTCTTCTGCTCTCAGTAACAGAGTTATGATGTTTTTTTTGCAAATTTGCCAAAGAACAATCTCTTACGTTTATTTGTTGTTTATTTTGAAGAAGGCCTCTAAGTGTGTATGTCCATATTCTTTCTTGTAACCAACTCGATTTATCCTAGCGTGGTCTTTTCCGTGGAATTTCTATCAAATTCGCTGCAAAATACATTCCTGGTGTAACTCATTTCTGAGTAATAGTGAGGCTTTCTTTTAATTCATCTTTCTCAGTGCTAGCTTATATCTATTCTTCAACTGTTTGTCGGTGGGATGATGTGAGAAGAGAAGTGGTACTTTCCGATTTCCTCTTACCTACTACTGTGCACTAATATGCTTCCACAGTGCCCATATATGGCTACTACGCCTAGTTCTCTACCTCACAAATTGTTTTCTTTTTGTGAGCCATTCGTTTCCAAATTTGCCTTTCGAAATTCGTTGTTCAATAATTTTTGTGACTCAGGTTTGGCTTACGGGGCAAGGAGATAAGATTTTAATAGAATAGGTCATCCACACATTAAATGAGGCTTTATATTACTCGATTTTCTTGTATAGATCGCCTTTTACTACCTCAGAGAAAAAAGGCGAAAATTACGGGGAAATTGTTCTGGTATGACTGTTTATTTTCATCTTACCTAATTGCTTATGGTGATTGTTTAAGGAACAATATTACACCAACAGTAGCCACCTTAGGGGTCTACCATATTCGTATTCACGGGTTAATTTACCATCTCTTCATAATCACTGGTTCAATCTGGCTAATAGAGAGGTTGACAGACTTCTTGATTTCATCCTATGATTAATCGAATTTGATGATGGACAGTGCTCAAACTCACCACCAACAAAATTGGAAGTAATAATAATATGGCGATCTTCAATTTTTTTCTAAATTCTCAACTGTGTTTCTGTAGCCAAATGATAAGTTGGCCGGGTGGTGTTACGATATTTATATGCGGAGTCCAGTTCATAAAATAAACCAAGGCTACTATCCAACAAAATATGAACAGTACAATTGTGAGCTCTATGAAGGGATTAATAATACCCCTAACATACACATTAAACCTCTTAAATATGTTATTCCACTAAGCCCCAATATTTATTTTATAATTTCGCTCACATTCGAGGCATTTCAGTTTCCTGATCATATAATATAGTGATTTGGACACTAACAAACCACTTTATCAGAGTTGAATGGAATAGGCAGAACCATATAACATTCAAAATTTATTAGTCCTTTGGAATTCAACCATTATATTAGAAGAAATACGTGGAGAAAATAAATCGTGACCTTACTATACTATGGTAAGGTCAGTGGTTAAAGAACAAGCTCTCCTCACTTATTGTTAACTACGCACAAACTCTTAAAGGAACTCGAGCACGTGTGGTCTAGTTCAAGTTTGAGGACAGTGGGAGGCCAACCATACTGCTAAATGGTCACACATGGTCAACCAGAATTCCATACTCAGGGTATCACCGTTGGGATTGATTCGTGTATACCCAAATATTCAAGCCTATCGTACCCCCCCCCCCCAGGTTCACTCTCGTTAACACAAAAGGGCAGTTTAGAAGTACACGCCTTTAGAAAAGTGCCTCGAAGTACCTACATCCAAGTGAACGTGATTGTCTTCATATTATTCTATTGGTAAAGGAAAACAGTCGTAGTGCAGTGCAGTGCGAGAGAAGAATCTTTCTTGATGACTATTTACGGTGTTGCATACTGACCTCAGTTCACAAAGTGACTAGACAGCGAATGCAGGTCAAAAGCAGGAAAAAGAGTAAACAATGTTTCTATGTGAAACTTTTAATGAAGTATAGAGAAGTGATTTCAAGTACTTACAGAGATACCTAGAGTAAAGTTTCTATTACCTTTTTGTGGTTAGCGCGTGCTTAACAACCTAATGACCAAATATTAGACTGATCATATACTCACAAATGATATTTACTTTCTGGAAAATAAGAAGAATCCAAGTCACATGAACGATTCGATAAAGCAGTAGGCTATTCAATATGATATCCTTCCTTTGAATTAAACACTCACTTACCCTTATAATCAATATTTGGTTCCATTTCCTTTTCATATCAAAATTACAACTTGGACAAGGGGATTTATCCACTACCGTGTTTGCCTTTATTGAACAAAGGCATTATTTGCCATTTTCGACTTGTACTATTTAGTTCAGATATGTTTTTCTTTCCAATTCTGATCTACCTTTCTATCCTCATTAAAACTGATTGTGATAACACATTGATTATAAATTTATGTGTTGGATTAAAAGTTTAATTAAAGGCGATAAATATAAAGTCGGTGTAGTGACTCTCATAACTAATCAGCTACTGTTGTTCTTCTTTTCAAATTGAGATTTGCATAAAAGAGCGATAAAGCCACTTGATTCATTTATTTCATCGGTTCTAACGTCCAGGTAGGGAAATTTAAACAAACTTATGAAGGATACTGTAGATAGGTTTCTGAACTACTCATTTTTACGGTAACTGTAGCGATTCTAGAGCCAGGCCGAAGCTCTCTCTCCCTCCTTAAGGGAACGAGAGTTTGCAAAAAAAATTCATAACAAAGGACGAACAAAGTATCGGTTATGTTAATGCTATGGCAGTTGTTGAAAAATAACTGCCTGACAGGAGCTCTGATATGCTAAACTTGCCCAAACTACACTTTTACTCTACTACAGACATAAAGAGTAAAAAGATCGCTCTGATTACTATCGATCTCTAATAACCTAAAGATTATAATAGCAAATGACAGGCTTTTGTGATAATTTTCATTTGCCGCCACAAACCCAAAGATAAATCCTTTAAGCAAAATCTATTTGGGGGTACGCTTCCTTATGTAATCAGTCAAGGATTAAACAAATAATATTGCTGGAATACAAATGTGACCAAGCTTTTGTTCTGGTAAACTAGCATTTACTGTGATTCTTACTCACTTGCCTTGAAAGTTAGGCCAGGATGGAGAGCTGTTGCTTGCAATGCCAAATTATACTAGTCTCAATTGTTTTTGCAAAAAACTCCGGTTTACAAGATTGATGTTCCCAATTTACCCTTCTGATTATCTCAGTAAATAGTTACGTAAATGTGTAAATACTGGAGTTTCGAATCGGCCATTTGAGAAAATGAGTAAAAATACAACTTTCCAAGATGAATTTTAAATATCTTAGTCTTTAACGCTCTATACGTACGGCGATAGATCATACTAAAAGTACAGAACTTAAATTTCAAGTATTAATTGTGTTATGTACGTACTTTTCTTCGCAATTAATTTTCAGTCAACCCCCATATGATTTTATTTATGAGCTATCGAGCAACAATAACTATCTTAATTCTAATTACTTTTTCACTGAAGAATATTGATTTTCGGGCAGTTATTCGAAGTTGCTTCAGATAAACGGGTATAAACCGAATACTAATTCAATTCGACTAGTCAACCAGTTTAATCCCTCTCTAAACTTTTTGGCATAATGTCCATTTCTACGCTTAGAAATACAACAATTATACAATCAGATTAAAGATAGAAAGCTTTGAAAGTTCATAAATTGGGGATCAAAATATGCATGCAGATTGCTGAGCTTAAAGGCGGTTTAATAAACGATTTGGCATTCTCTATTTGGCCTTTAATTCCAAGTCTGCATTATCGCAATAAAGGCAAATGAAGTTTTAAAAATTAAAGCTCATTTTGCTGTAGCTAAGTTAAAATAATTTCTTTAACGCGAAACTCGTAACTATTCAGCATTGAAACTCTTATATGCTCTAGAAGATTTAAGTTGCCATGGTAATTTTTCATATATTCTACCTGTGAACGTCACGCGCACAAGAATAAGTAGCCTGTTTCCTGCTCGTACAGGTAAACAGGGCGACAGATACTCGCATAGTCTTTATGCAGCTGACCTCAGAAACACGGTGAAAGCTGAATGATGAGCCAGCAGTTTCGCGCAGCGACGCAAAGGGAGTGGAGGGCAGGCCTATAAGCAGTCACTCTTTTTCTATTGGTCCATGGTCGTCCTCGCAGTTAAAACAGGCAGTTTACTTAATATATGCAGGTTGTGCACACGAGTTGCTTGACCTTAGTTATCGATTCCAACTTGCTACAATTAACTTGCAAGAAATAAACTAGTTGCTACGGTATTTGAATCACCAGGCAATATGAAAAACCCTACTAAATTTTAAATTCCCCACTTGAACTCTCTGTAGCAGAAGTTGGCATCTATCACTTAGTTTTCGGATGGAAAATGGAAAATTTAAACAGCTTGTAGAAAATTTATTTAAATTCCACTGGATAAAAGATAATGCTGATAAGTCCATAACAATACAATTTATTCCAAATGATAAAAAATATCAAGGCATTAAGCATCTAAGTTGAGATGGTGGGGATTACAAACACAGGAAAGGGAATAAAACTTTGAAGAGAATGCGTAATCAAGTAGAAAATTGCGTTCTTTGAAAAGTGATGCAGCAAACAGATGATTATTCACAAAACGGTCTGGTAACAAAGAATCGGGGTTAAACTTGAGGGTTTGAAAAGCCTGTGCTATTTACTGCTTGTTTCTCTGGGACGCTTCTGCACAACAAAGAAATCTAAAAGTGAAAGTATGTTAGTAGTTAGATATATTCGTGATTCGACAGTAATATGTAGAAATTAGTATCACTTACCAGTCATTCTGGGGTTCGACTTTCTTTTTAAAATCTTAGGTACTGCAGGAATTTTGAATACTGGATCGGCTAAGAGAAGACTTGTTGACGTAGAGGCAAAAGATTTCACTGGGGAAGATATTAGGGAAATAGGTTGCTGAGTTGGTCCAGGTTGCAGTGTAGTTTCAATATTATCCATTTTTTCTACGTGGGGAGAGGAAAAATTGAAAGCTATTTTTCCGAAAACACGGGAACTGGTGAGACACGTTTGAGAAGTCTGCATATTCGAACGAAGGCTTTCAAGCATTGAGGGAGTTAAACGTCTTTTAGCCTTCAATTTGCGAGGAGGACGAGTGTAAAATGAAGCCTTTGTGTCTGTCACAATTTTCCAAGAATTAGAAGATGACACTTTGTTGACATCAAAATTCCACTTAGCACGAAATCGTTCTTGTTCACCTTTAATAAGCTGGTCAAGATTTTGTTGAATCAATGTCCTGGGCTTGGAATCCTGAAATAATCGTCGACATAGTTTAGAAGTTGGGTTCGCGGCCATGTTGCCTGTTTTATGCCTCTTCGAATTTTTCTGTGCACGAACACGCGCAGCCACACAGCGAAACAAGCAAACGCGTCAAGATGAAGACGCTGGCGAGGCGCGTGCCTTTTTATTGATGATTCTACGTGCTAAACCAATGGAAAGCAAGCTGTATTCTGATTGGCTCATGGCCCCTCAAGGCAGGCATGTGCCAGTCCATTAGTGGATGAGTCAGCAATTTTCTTCACGTAAACAAAGTGTTATATCAAGATGACAAAGCTTCAACTAAAATGTGATAAATCGATATTCTTCTTCGCACTTGTAGCCCAATGAGAGACGATATTTTAAATGCTCCTAGTTAGCGCGATAATAATAATAATTTTATTTGTAATTATTTATTGATTTTTAATTAGTTTCGGAGAAGGATAAGTTAGCTTAGAATGAATGAGATAAGTATACATGTGATTACCGGCGGACAACTTTGAGTTGACTAATATACTCCATATGTTGTGACTCAGAAACTCTGGTTTAGAAGGCAGACTGAGTAGGCAGTTAGCTTGCGTGAAATTTGATTTTCTATGAGTTAATTATGAGTTATTAGTTAAATCACCTTGCAATCTATCCAATTAATGGTAATCAGACCGATTGGCATTCCAGGGCTTGGAAGGAATGGCTAATAGATTATTTCTATGTGAAATTATTACCCCTTTAAAACCAAGACATTTTGCTTGATATTATGCTTTTAATTCAGTATTTGCTGGGGAGGGGGAGTAGGAGGAGGTGAAAAGTACTTGATTCCATTTCATTTTTAAACAAAGACTTCTACCTAACTTCAGTTGAAGTTAAGGCCTCTTTGTTCTCAAAGATTCCAGCAATTTTTGATAGACATCCCAATGGAGCTTAGTCTTGGAAATATTTGTGTGAAAATGTATTAGGTATAAGCTTTCAAAAGTAAAGGGTTGATTCCATCCGAATTTCCTTAATCTATCTCACTCAAAATATGTCAAGTGGCATAAAGACGTACGCCAAAATTAATAGATTAGGTTGCGGTAACACTCTTGTTGTTTGGGTTAGAGGTCTGTTAGGTTAACGATATATTTATCTTTCAATGACCACTATGACACAATGGTAAAAATATTTAGATGAAATTGCAGGTTTTATGATAGTTATCATTGGCCCTTTAGTTGACTTCGGGCTTTACAGAGGGGAGGAATATCAAAGTCAAAAGAATCGAGGAGGGGGGGGGGAGGGGCAGAACAGAAGAATGATTCACAGATGTAAAAGAGACTGACACAAAGGTGGAGAAACTGTAAGGTGAGGTCTAAGGAAGTGGTGGAATATGGCATACAGTCAGAAGTCAACTGCCAGTTTATAGACTTTTGTCGTATGATTATACATTGCCCAGGGTGCGACATGTGTAGATGAGCATATCGCTCACCCCATGGCAGTAATATAGCCGAGACTTTAAGTGCCAATTCATTTAGAGATATTTTCCTGCACTTTAAATTTACTGAAATGAGTTCGTTATAAAGCACTTTGGCTCACTCTTAGATAACTCCGGATGATAAATTTAACCAATTGATTCAAATTGAATGAATCTAAGGTCCTTTGCTGCAACATATTAATACTCTATCACTTTTAAAGATGAATCAGAAATCACGATTAGAATCACCTAGCTAAACTAGAGTCTTTTTCTAACTTTATCGCATTACAGAACGATGGAAAATAAGCCAGAACTGTTGTTAGAATCTTTCATTAAGAGGATGGGTTGTCAGTCAAACCAATTGGTTGAATATGATAAATTACAGCTCACTGCGATGGAATAAAATAAAAAGTTAGATAGTAAGGCCAAGGTGTCATCGACTTCATTACATTTCTGGAATCGAGGAGCGAAACAGTCCCTTAATAATTAATGTAACTTTCATGGTTCTTCACTTGGATTACTCATGTCCGTGGTAGTCAGATCTTATTTAGAGGGTAATTCAATTATTAACAACCGAACACTTCAATGCATTTCTCATCCTAGAGTTGAACAAGCTAAAATATCTTACGTGATTTCATATGGCTTAAAGTATGAACAGTGAAGAGGGAACTTGAAAAATAAAGGAATAAGAGTTTAACACTCACACAAACTATTAGCTTCTCCATAAGCGTATTGAAATATTTTCATTATTAAATTGAGAAAATGAATAACAAAATCTTAAGTACCACCCAATCATCTATTTCCATTGGAGTGAACTGGCAATAACCGACAAGCTTCAAATTGCTCACCAAGACTGATTTATTTGTACAGATATTATTTCAACTGAGGGTTCATTACAAATGTTAATTAAATATTTATTTATATCAAATGGCAGGCGTTTTGATGGTTATCATTAGCCCTTTAGTTGTCTTCAGGCTTCACAGAGGGGAAGAAACATCAGAGTGAATGAAAAGTCGAGAAGGGGGGGGGGAGGGAACAGAAGAGTGTTTCAGAGACCAAGGTAGAAAAGGTAGAATAAAGGTGGGGTGAGTACTGTGGAAGTAGTCGACTATGACAAACAGTGGAGTCATGGTACCTTGAAATCAGAAGTCAACTGCCGGTTAATAGACTTTTTTGCCGCATGAGTATGCGTTGCCCAGGGTGCACCACGTGGAGGTAAGTCTATCGCACACCCCGTTAATTAAATATACATTTACATCAACTAAGTACCAGACCTCTTTTAATTTTACGAAAACCGAAAATGAACAACTGGTGCACATCGGGTCAATTATGAACTGCCTTGGTTACCATTTGGATATGCATTTATGACCTCAAGAAGATATAATCTTAACTTTATTGCTTTTATTAGGCCTGTAATTCTTTATTGCGAACTAAGCAACAATAGCTATTGAGATTGAAGAAAAAAGTAACTTCAGGTCAAACATAAGATAGAGACTTAAGGACACTGACGTCATACTGACAAACATATAGAAATTAAAAAGTTCTTTAGGTCGAAAGTAAAGCAATTCTGAAGGAATAGGAACTTCTTAATAAGAGTTGTTTCAGGCAAAGCCTCTTTTAGAAGGAATGACTAAATTTGGAATATGACTTAAGTCGAATAGGAGAAGCACAGAAAGGTTTTAAGTGAATAAACATTATACCTTTCCAATCGATCGGCATAATTTTTATATTTTTCGATGAAAACATGAATTTTTAATGGTCTTTGAAAGACCTTAAGAAATTATTACATCAAATTCTGTTAGCATAAGTATTGAGATCAGAAAGTATCTAATTTTCCACCACGGGAAAGAATCTTTTGATTAATATGCAACGTAGATTAAGAGGAGAGAATCGACATTAAAGCCATGATATTAATAGATTTCTTAGAAATTTGATGCTATTTTCTGGATTTTCAATTTTTTTCATTCCCAGTAGAGACCACTGGTTCGTACCATGTTGTCAAATTACGAGAATTTTTTCCCGATATTTCCACGGATCAACATTTTATTCCGCAGCTTAATTTAAACAGTCGTTCAGATATTTCAGGTATTTTGTGTCTCAAAAGTTCGTATGATTTCAATCATGGTTGAACTCACTGGAGATAACCAGTTTTTCTTTGGAAAAATAGTAAAATTATCCCCGAAATTATAATGAATCCTTTGAAATGTGATAAGCATGGGATCTGATGTTGAGCCCATTTCAAGCATCCCAGAAGCTGCTTTCTTCTCTTTCTCCTCTGTCCACCAGTTATTTAGTAACAAACCATTGAAGCAAACCTAATTCATCAGAGGTTTTGAATCATCAGAATAACTCCTCAATACTCTAGAGAAACATATTTTTATTCATTAAAAAATCGTCAGCTAAATGAATGAATTAAGGTTACCAACGGGTACTGATTTTAACTGAAATACAGCTGTAAAATGGGAACTTGGAGTTTCCCTTAAATCGGTTGATGAACCTAAATAAATCAAACGCAAAATAAAAGACATGCCTTAGGTAATGGGAGATTATGATCTGATTGACACTTAATTTTAGCCTCATAAAAATTGATATCTCCACATAAATGAATTGGTTTAGGAAAAATGCATGTAAATTTTAGCCAGGTGTTCGGGGAGCGAGAAAGCGAAGTTTGGGTTGAAAATTAAATAAAGACATATACTCTCCTCAAAACAAACTTAACCACAATTCAAAGATGTGCAAAAATGCTTGAACCAAGACCACTTGTAAATCGAAGTTGAATAAGAAACCGCCGATAGACTGATCTATGATCGCGCAAAAATGATCTGCCATTTGGCATTTTCTCCCAATTGATGGGACTCAAAAAAACCACGCAGAAAGAAGGTGCCTATGAAATTGCGTGAAACTACGTCAATAGGATCTTTCATATGAAGAATAATAGGAAAATAATGGGAGTCAAGAATGCCCAAACCTTAATGCGAAAAATCAGTTGACCTGGTAATTTAAGGACCAAAATGAACATTAATTCCCTCACTCTTTCAACCTCTCATTACCCTCCATACGCAATTTAAAGTTGTAAAACTCGTTCTTTCTGCCTTGAGAAGTTCCAGTTTAATAATAAAAGGGCAGTACGAGGTTACATTTTGAGCTAAATCAGGTCAGCGAGAAATATTCCAAAAGATTTAATTACATTAGTGTTTAATTTGAATGACCTTATCGGGCCACATTCCAAACACAAATTTTTTCCGGAAGGTCGTGGATTCAACATCCACCTCTAACGTCAAGTAGATAGAAAATCAATGATGTAAATCTTAATGCATCATACCAACAAACAGTGCAAACACCTAATTTACTAAATATGATCATCTCCGGTGAGGTTGCTTTTGCAATCTTAAAAACGATATTAAAAATATTATTATTATTTCAAATGACAGGCTTTATGATATTTATCATTAGCCCTTAAACTTTGACTACAGCTTTCCATATGGGTG